GCAGGTCCTACAAGGGCAGAGCCCTACAATCTTTCTGTCAACCAAGTCATTGCTTCAATATGAAAGCAACCAGAGCCTAACGAGATCCCGGCACTTCCCAGGCATCCAATAACTATTTATGAATGAGTGACTTAACGAATGAATACAGTATTTGCCATTGGTGTTTTTTAAAAAGGAATCCCGGAGATTGGGCTCTCCTTTAGGGGTTCATGGAACAGTACAAAGCTCACTGTAGTAAACTTTATCATCAAGTCTTTCTAATGAAGAAACAACTCTGACAAAGTCACAGTGTTATTGGGACTCATGTTCTATCTGCTCATGATTTGCCTATTTTTTCAAAAGTTCATGGAGAAATGGGTTACTGTAGTACCAAGGACAATAGTGCCATCTAGTGATACTTTTGGTAATTGTCTCTGAAATTGCTTATGACATTTCCTGTTACCAAAAATTCATCTTCAGAGACTTAAGAGTGCAACGGGTGCAGTTTGTGATCATCACCATTTCTCTGTCCAAGAAATCTTTATTCAAAATTTCAGTATGTGATAAACCTTCACGAGCTCATTCAGATTTCCCAGATGACAGCATGATGTACTCACATCAGATTTTTCAGTAGTTTACATGCTTATGTCTCAAAGACCATGTTTTATATCTTTTAATAATATTGATCTTGAGATGCAACACTGATCTAACAATTACTTTTCTGGAGAAACAAAATTGAATATACACATTGTAAATACATTACACAAGTAAATTCATTACTTGAGTAATTTACATATTGCTAAATATAAAAATGGGAGCTCTGGTAGCATAGTGGCTAAGACACTTGCCTGCTAACCAGACGGCTGGCTGTTCAAACCCACCAGCCACTCCTCGGAAGGAAGGTTGGGCAATCCTACTTCCGTAGTGATACTGCCTCGGAAACCCAAGGAGGGGTCGCTATGAGTCAGGGCTGACTCGACGGCACATAACAACAACAACAACAAATATAAAAATTACTTTATTTGGAAAGATGATTCATTAAATGTGTAAGCAATTTTTTAAATAACCCAATGGCATACATATATATATTATTTCCCACACACACACACACAATTTGGGACCTCTGGTAGCATAGTGCCTAAGGCACTTGACTGCTAACCAGAAGGCTGACGGTTCAAACCCACCGGCCACTCCTTAGAAGGAAGGTTGGGCAATCTACTTTCGTAGTGATAATGCCTCGGAAATCCAAGGACGAGGCAACCCAAGGAGGGGTTGCTATGAGTTGGGTCCAACTCAACAGCAGTGTGTATTCACAATTTAAGAAAAAATTCTGGTACTATTCATGCTACGGGTACTAATCATTCAATTAGGAAATTGTAGTTATACTGAAGAGCATTTTATCTTGGTCAGAAAGCTTGGGAGCTAGTTCCGGCTCAGACACTGTCTAGTTAAGTTGAGCAAGTCAGTTAACTTACGTAACTCAGTATTCCTCACTGTAAAATGGGATAACAGTGTCTACCTTTCCACCTTTCAGAGTTCTGAAGATCAAATACAACTTCTGAAACTGCTCTCTGTGGCATTAGTGGTGCTGTTCTCAATGATCATTCCCTGGGAAGGATGGCAGATTCTTCAGCAAGGCTACTGTCTTGCTCTCCCGTTATCTCAACGCTCAAAACCAAGCCAGAAACATAATGGTGATTGATAAAATACCAGTTCAATGACAATCAATTACCCACTATATATATATATATATATAATCTCAAAATCTTTTCTGTTTTCAGTCTTTCAAATCTGGCTTTGAGCAGAGCAATAGAATAAATGTGGTTAAAATTATGCCAGAGAGGAAATAGGTAGGACAGAAGACCAAAACCCAAACCAAACCCGCTATCGAAAAGCCAATTCCAACTCATAACTCCCATTGGGTTTCCAAGGTGGTAAATCTTTACAGTGGAGTGGCTGGTGGGTTTGAACCACCAACCTTCTGATTAGCAATCAAATGACTTAGATACTGTGCCATGAGAGCGCCTTCAGAGAGGAAATAGGTAGGGCAGAAGAGGCATTTTAATACCTATTTTCTTTACAATTACCGAGTCCAAGCTGCCCATCTCTTAACTGGACTAAGGCAATGGGGTCCTTAGTGATCTTTTTACTTCTGTTCTTGCCCCTCCGTTCCATACACAGCAGCAAGTTTTTAAAACATAAACCATGTATCTCTCCTGCCCAGATTCTAAGTGGTTTCGTACTTACACTGCACAGACCCCACCACCCTGGCCCTGCTCTCTTCGGCTCCCACACTTGAGGAGCTGGTCCTTTTGATGGGAAGCCTCTTCCTTAGCTTCACAAGGGGCCTTCCTCTTATCATTCAGATCTCGACTTTATCTCCTGAATCAGGCTTTGCTGATCAACCCCTGCTACACTTGCTCAGTTCTTTCCTGCACATACTTATTTCACATTTCATAGCAGTTGTCTCTCTCCCGTTATCCCTACACGCAGAACCACCTGACACATGATAGCTATTAATACTGGTTTAATGATGACCAAGGTCACCCCACTGTATTTTTCCCTCTTCTCCATCAGTGATCCACAGCCTGGTTTTGTGGCTGTTAGGGAACCCAATGTGGATTCCTGTAAATGTGTGGACCCTTGTACGGGTGCTTCCACTTTTCAAAATTTGGACTCTCATCCATCAAAGCAGAAATGATGCGTGCCCTGCTTACCTTGTGGGTCACGATTAAAAATGGACGAGAGCTTAGGAGCTGTGAAGCCCAGGAATAGACACTAGACTTGAAATGCTCCCTCATTTAAAAGCTAAAGAAAGGGACTTCTGGTAAGATGGAGGAATAGGCAGACAAGCGACACAGACCCTCCTCAACAAAGAAAAGAAAAGCCAATTGACAGAGATACAGAAGATAATCCTGGAAACTTGAGCTTTGAAAGGAACTATACAGAAGTGGATTAGGCACCAACTAGTGGAAAAACCTGAACGAAAACAGTGAGTCCAGAGATGGTCAGAGCTGTGGATTGTCAGCTACTCTGGCGAGACCAACAGCCTGAGTATTTCCAAGTGGTGTTGGGACCTGAGAATTGACTTAAAGATCAGTCCCAGTCACCAAGGGCTGCAGGGACAACTGCTCTGGTGGCCTATGACTAGGAAAGGAAACAGCAAGGAGGGAGACAACCTGAGCTGTGGACTTTCTGCTGTCTGGAGGGTGCAGCCATCTTGATTGTTTACACATGGCAGCTATTTTGGATATTTAAAGTGACCGAGGACAAAGCCATTTTAAATGTTTACAAGTGGCAACCATTTTGGATTTTAAAGTGACAGCATTCTCATTCGGATTCCAGGGACATAAGAACAGGCTCTGTTTGCCAGGGTCAGCAAAGACACATGAGAGGCTGACAAAGGAAAGGAGACAGGTAGTGAGCGTATAAGTACTGTCAAGTAGCCAATAGAGGAGCACAGCACAGTACCCTGCCTGCATAGATAACATACAAACAAAACAAAGAAAAAGCTAAAGAAAGCCCAGGAAATTTAAATGACAGCAAATGAACAGATATTTTCCTAATGCACCTAGCTATGGTAGTGTAGTAGGAGCTCTGGTAGCATAGTGCCTAAGGCACTTGATTGCTAACCAGAAGGCTTTTGGTTCAAACTCACCAGCCACTCCTTGGAAGGAAGGTTGGGCAATCTACTTCTGCAGTGATACTGCCCTGAAACTCAAAGAGGGGTTGCTATGAGTGGGGTCCGAATCAACAGCACTTAACCACAAGCACCTAGCTATAAAGCGCAAATATTAAACAGTATGCAAATGAATTGAGCTTAGGCAGATTAAATATTGACACAAGTCTTTCACTAGGGGACTAGGTGTTGGACACTGGAAAGCTTCCTTTTCCATGGCTTGTTTTCTTTTGTAGATTGTGTCCCTCCCTCTTCTCATAGTACTGTCTGGAGCATTTAGATAAGCCTTGTGGACTCAATGTTTTTCAGCCCTTCCCTACAATCTACATGAAATGTCTTCAAACATCCAACAACAGTAGTATTGGTTATAATCTTTTATCTTTGATTTATTTTACACAGGATAGAATTTTCCAAAACTTTGTTCAAATAATCAATTACTCCAAGATTAAGTTTCAGCAATGGCTACAGAATGACTTTATAACATAACGGAAATGAATGACTTTCAGGCATTGGTAGCTCTTCGTGGAGACAACAGTGAGTATAAGCTCTAGACTTGAGTGCCCAATGTTGGAATTCCAACTCTTTCACTCACTAATAGTGACTCTGATCCAACCACTCTGAGCTCAGTTCCCCATCTGGAATCCAGGGCTAATAAAAATCTCACAAGGTTGTTGGGAGGATTCAGTGCTTCACACACAGAAAATATTCGATAGTAACAATTATTTTCTTCACCATTGTGCCTCACCACAGACTCTTTTATAAATAGTTTGTTTTCTCAGATACATTCTATATCATACAGTAACTTAAACATCTGACTTCCTACAGGTTAAAAAACACAAAGGCATAATACATTTGTATTACATAATGAAGTACTTAAAAATTCTGAAGACACAGTTCCAGACATATGAAAAATCAATTTTATCATAAAATCGGAATGATGAGAAGTTGAAAACCTGAAAAAAAGGACTATCTCCAACTACCACTCGTTCTACTTGTCATTACATTCATTTCAGTCAGCATGATCTTTATTTCAAAATAACATTTTTATTTTATAAAAATGTAAAAATCCAGCAAAACCAGAAATATGGATATATTTTCCTGGGATTTCACACTTGTTGATTTTTATTTGTAATCTCTTTTTCAATACAATTTACAACCTCATCCCCATTCTCAGCTTGATTACACAGGTGCTAAGTGGCAGAAAGGGTCTGGAATAAATACATCCCCAAAAAAGGCAAAGCTGTGAAGCTAAGTGCATGCAACAGGTTCTATGAAGGTGGGGGAAAAGTATCTTGGAAATAGAGTAAGACAAGGTAACTAGAAGGTTTTAGCTAAAGTTCGTTCAGTCATCCTTGTCTTTTGCTCCATGTTTAAGGATGCGCGTGAACTCAATATAATTGAAATTCCCCTTTTTGTCAATAGGTGCTTCTCTGTACAGCTCATCCACTTCCTCATC